AGTCGGAGGTTTTGTGGAATTTACCCACAGCCACGTACATGGAGACAACACGCTCACGCACATGCACATGAAGAAATGCAGAATGAAAACGAAGCCAACTGTCCGCACCACTCAATATAACTCTCGCCCACTCCACCGCCGCTGCCACAATGCAACACATTGCTAACACCCTGTGCTTTTCTTCAATCATTTCAATTTGAATCATATGGGGACTAGGGGTGGAAACGAAGCGAATTTGAACGAATACTGTCTTATTCGAATTCGAATTCGGCTCAATTAGGACTATTCGTGTTCGTGTTCGAATTCGACACGAATACTATATAAACTTCGAATTCGCTTCGTTTATCTGTGCTCGTGTTCGATAACTATTCGCGAACATTCGATTAACACTATTTCCTGTTTAAATATCAAATTATTCATCAACTATTCAATATATATTCGACAATTATTCGCAAATCAATATATTAAGAAATTGGAATCTAAAACAACATAGCAATCACCAGTTACCAGCTTATCCAATAATCCAACTTATCTAGTAAGTCAGTATCACATTACCACATACATAGGAAACAAAGAGGTATTTTAAAGTGAAATTTGCTACACACCAAGATCTTAACTCATACATAAAGAAGTTTTACAACTTTCCAAAAGAACATATTAAGAAAAAAGTGGATGGAAGCTCGTTCATTCTCAAACAAGTCTCCTTCAAGATTTTCCAATTTGTAGCTTTCACCATCTAAGGTAGAGGTTGACTCTGTTGATAACCACAAGTCTTCTTGAATTCCAGGTAACGAACGCTCTTCAGTGTTGAGGACACCTGCACGAAGAATTAAGAGACAAAATCAATAAATTGTTTGTAATCATTCTGGATCATCATTTGCCCAATTAACTGTATAATATTTTACCTTTAATGCTTGATATGTCAATGGAGAAGACCACAATTATTTGCTTTGTTGTTTACTGGCATGTATATAATATAGTTTACAAAAAGTTTATCCTCTGCTTCTGGCAAAGCTTACATATAACAAAAAAAAACTCTGACATGATGCATTTTAATTAATATATTGATATATTACTTTAGCCTTTCTTTGTGTGCTGTAGAAGTAAAGCTGAAACACAAATTTATGCATATGGAAGTATTGAACTTGATATCATGTCAACTAAAGCTTTAACATATTTTTGCTATATGTTATTAAAAAAGATCTCTAATTTGTGTTTGTTTGATTCTTAGGGCTGGCAACGCAACTTCTGATCACAATTACGTGCCATCAATATCTCAAACTATATTTTGATCCCCAAAACACATACCTACCCCTATGATAACTCTAAAAGTCCACTTGCCATGAAGCTACACTCTAACTTTTGTAGTAAAATGAGTACTAATAGGTTTCTGACCTTTGAACCTCTTCTTTAATAGTAACCAAATCCAGACCACAAACTAGCCACATCAAAAGGAGATCTTTAACATTGAGTTTATTTACTGCTTCAACAAGACAAAATCAATATCTTTAACATTTCATACATCAAAAGGATTAGCATTTAATGGGCAGAACAAAGATTCCCAATCTTATTAGCCAGAAGCTAATTAATGAATTTAGTAACCTTACTATGATAAGCCACAAATGTACTAGAACAATTGTGAATATACTTATTTCACTATAAATCCAGAAATGAAAATGGTCTTGATGAACAAGAATGTCTGAAACTTGAGAGGAAAATTAGAAGTAGAAGCAAAGAAAAATCAATGGCCGAATAGAGCAAAGAAACATTGCAAGGAAAAAGCCACAATCATAAGAATATGCATATTTAACAGATACAGAGATTTACCATTGACGTCAGGGGAGAGGCGGCTGGGCGCTGGATCTCGAGGCTGCCGGCGGCGGTCAGGCGGCGGCCTGAGGTGAGTTCGGGCGGATCTGGACAGGGGGTCGAAGATGGAGAGCTGGAGGCTGCGGGCTGGGGGTTTGGCGGCGCTGAGCGCTGGAGGCGGTGATTGGAGGCGGCGGAGGTAGAGGAGGCGCGGAGATGACGAGGGAGTTGCGGCGAAGATGATGAGGGAGATGGGAGTTTCGGCGGTTTCAGATGAATCAGATCTAGGGTTATGACTTATGAGATAGGGCACTTGTTAAAGCTATTTATATTATGGTAGTCGGTAAAGGCGCATCAAACCCGTTGATGGCTGAGGATTTGCCAAAAATCCTATAAATACGAAAGTCACTGACGCATCAGCTTCTTTAGTTGGTCTCGTGACCTGAGCAACATACGACGTTCAAAACCCTAAAGGTCTACGCCAGACAACGCGTAACCTTAGGTCAACGCCAGTCAACGCGTTGCGATCAAAAGGTCAACGTACGACGGTCAAAACCCCAGGGTTAACGCCGGACAACGCGTAACCTTAGGTCAACGCCAGTCAACGCGTTGCAAGCAAAAAATTTGAAACCCTAGGGTTAACGCCGGTCAACGCATAACCCTAGGTCAACGCCAGTCAACGCGTTGCGATCAAAAGGTCAACATACGACAGTCAAAACCCCAGGGTCAACGCCGGACAACGCGTAACCCTAGGTCAACGCCTATCAATGCATTGCAATGAAAGAACTAATACTCCGAAAGGTATACGAGTATAAACTGCTTCTTAATACTCCGAAAAGTATACGAGTATAAACTGCTTCTTAAATACTCCGAAAAGTATACGAGTATAAACTGCTTCTTATACTCCGAAAAGTATACGAGTATAAACTGCTTCTTAAATACTCCGAAAAGTATACGAGTATAAACTGCTTCTTACTCCGAAAAGTATACGAGTATAAACTGCTTCTTACTCCAATAAGGTATATGAGTATAAACTGTTCCCTAATTTTGGTTGAGAAGTTTCTGGAGAGTATTTTTCTAAAAAATATTCTTAAGGATAACTCAACAACACTATGCCGGACAACGCGTCGCAAATAAAGACTCAACGCCGACAGTCGAGGGTCAGTTCTGTGTTCAACCAACAAGCACGAGCTAAAAATCAGAAAACCAGGAATTGACTTCAAGTTCGAATTTCCGACAACGGTCAGACAATAAATGCAGCACCGGAACCCTTACAGACATTCGACAAAGCACCGAATAGCCTGAAGGATTGAAGGAATCAAGAACACAAGTCATTCCAAGGTCCCATTACACCGACTGAAGGTGGGGACAATCATATCCAAAGTATTCTAGACTCTTCTATAAAAGAACGAGACTGAAATACTTTGGAGGGGGTATCTGTAGGCATATAAATTTGCTTATAGGTGCTTAGCTCAGCTCAGTACAAACCGACAAACCAACGAGGCGACGAGATTGGCTAATTGCACGCAAGCAACGGAATACGTCCATTCGCGTGCGGGATCAAGCCAAGTGTTCGAAGAGTCAACGAGTCACCCAACCAAAGGCATACTCGGACGAATGACGATCGAATCAAGATCGGTTTCGGACTCCAACTCAGAAGCGGATTTACTGCCTAATCGGGATCCGGATTTACTGCCAAATCAGATCAGCAAATCGAATCCGAACCTATCAACTGCAAAACCGGAAAACGGGCACAAAGAGGCAAAACGACAAACCCCTGGAGGTCGGCTCACCGAGCCACCAAGGAGGCTCGGTGGCCGAGCCACCAAGTGGTGGCTCGGCCGAGCCACCTAGGTGGCTCGGTGGCCGAGCCACCTTGGGGTGGCTCGGCCACCTCCGAGCCACCAAATGGTGGCTCGGAGGCCGAGCCACCTCCTTGGTGGCTCGGCGGCCACCAAGGTGGCTCGGCCACCACCGAGCCACCAAGAGGTGGCTCGGTGGCCGAGCCACCAAGGTGGCCGGCCGAGCCACCTCTTGGTGGCTCGGCAAAAAAGATTGGAACTTTAGGACTTCGGGGACTCACTCCTTCAGATCTGGTGCTCGGCGATCATCAACGTCAAATAAGGCAGGTGTTCGAGAGGATCGGATCTCAGATCTACGCAGGCATACTCCGGATCTAAGCTTGGTCTTAGATCCCGAGACTTGGACGATTGTTTCCTTGGTGAAACAATCCTCCCCGGCTATTATTTCCTTGGTGAAATAATACCCGTCGTACTGCGTAGATCCGACCGGATCTAGATCTCGCGGTGGTCCATGGCAAACAACCCCGGCGCAGGCAAAGAACCCACAAAGCGAGCGACCGCAAAACAGGAGCTCGCGATTCATTCGACATAAAGGAGAAAAGTTGTAATTTTTCATTTCTTTTCAAATTTGATTTTCGTTGTAACCGGATCTTATAAAAAGACCGGATCTTTGTAATCGATAAACTATTACAAGAGTGTACAATGGAATCAATAACAAAGAAACCTACGAATTTCCCCGCGAACAATATTTATCTTCTATCCTTAGCTTTTTTTAGGTTTTAGATCAAATGTATAATAATGAAGTTCAAATTATGACTAGGTGTTAAGAACGAAGCTCAACACATAGTAGGTTCATTGAAAATGATTGTCATTTATGAAAATAACGACATTGAGATGATTAAGTCATTCAACGACTGGGGAAAATGATGATAATGAAGATAAAGGCACGTCACTTGGTAGGCCAATGTTAGAAAATGCACGTCATTTGGGGAAATAACGACGTTAAGAAAATTATATCGTTCAGTGACTTAAAAGTATAATGACAATGATAAAAATAAAGACACATCACTTGGTAGGCTAATGTTTGGAAAACGAATAGGATTTGGGGTAATGACGATATTAGAAAGAACATGTCTTTCAGTGACTTAGGAGTATGACGATGATGATGAAAACAAAGACGCATCACTTGGTAGGCCTATGTTTGGAAAACGAATATCATTTGGGGTAATGACAAAGTTAGGAAGATCATGTCGTTCAGTGACTTAGGAGTATAACGACTATGATGGAAACAAATGCGCATCACTTGATAGGCCTATGTTTGGAAAACAAACATCATTTAGGGTAATGATGAAGTTAGGAAGATCATGTCGTTCAGTGACTTAGGAGTATAACGACGATGATGGAAAGTGTTCGTAGGAAAAATTGTGTTCTTCATTGATTCCATTGCACACTCTTATAATAGTTTATCGATTATAAAAATTCGGTCTTTTTATAAGATCTGGTTACAACGAGATCAAAAGAAAAATAAAATTACAATTCTTTCCTTATTTGTCGAACGAATCGCGAGCTCCTGTTTTGCGGTCACTCGCTTTTGTGGGTTTTTTGCCAACGCCGGGGTTAATCCGTGGACCACCGCGCGATCTAGATCCGGTCGGATCTATACGATTTGACGGGTGTTATCTCACTAAGAAAATAATAGCTGGGGGGTACTATTTCACCAAGGAAATAATAGCCTTTAGTTCTCGGGATCAAAGGCCAAGCTTTGATCCGGAGTATTACTTCGTGTAGATCTCAGATCTTATTTCTCTCTCTCGAACTCCTACCTTTTGTGACGTGGAAGCTCGCCAAGAACCAGATCTGAACGTCCAAGTCTTCAATCCTTCAAAACTCCAAGCTCAGTTCTCAATCCGGCAGAGTTTCGGCTCCAAAAGTTCTCTCCTTTTCAAAAATGAACCATGCCATCTATTTATAGGCTCTCAGATTTGTGCCTTGGCACAGATCTGGGCCGGCCACCTATAGGTGGCTCAGCCGCCGAGTGCTCGGTTTTGGCCGAGTCCCCTTGTGTTGTGGTTTTTGCCGTTTTTTCCGGTTTCGTGGTTGATTTAGACTCTGATTTGTTGATCTGAATCCTGATTTGGCAGTAAACCCGCTTCGTTGTTGATCCAGACTCTGATTTGACGGTCCGAATCCCAATATGGCAGTAAATCCACCTCGGTGTTTGAGTTCAAATCCGTTCTATGGTTGGATGACTCGTTGACTCACCGAACTATTAGCTTGATTCCGCATGCGAATGGATGTATTCCATTGTTTGCGTGCGGCTCGCTAGCCTCGTTGCCTCGTTAATCCGCTTCGTTGCGTGTCACTTGGCTTCGGCGTTGTGGACTGACGTTCGATGGTTCGTCGGTTTGTTAATCCGCTTCGTTGCGTGTCACTTGGCTTCGGCGTTGTGGACTGACGTTCGATGGTTCGTCGGTTTGTGTCGAGCTGTGCTAAGGGACCTATAAGAAATTTTATACGCCTACAGATACCCCCTCCAAAGTATTTCAGTCTCGTTCTTTTTTAGAAGAGTCTGGAATACTTTGGATATGATTGTCCCAACCTTCAGTCAGTGTAACGGGACTTTGGAATGGCTTCTGTTCTTGATTCGTTCGATCCTTTAGGCCATTCGGTGCTTTGTCGAATGTCTGTAAGGTTTCCGGTGCTGCATTTATTGTCTGACCGTTGTCGGAATTTTGAATTTGAAGTCGGTTCCTAATTTTCTGATCTTTAGCTCGTGCTTGTTGGTTCAACATAGAACTGATTGTTGGCATTGAGTCTTTATTTGCAACGCGTAGTCCGGCGTAGTGTTGTTGAGTTATCCTTATTGGAGTATTTTTCATGTCCGAATGAGCCGAACCGGCCTAATAATGACCCAAAAAAGGTAGTAATTAGGCTCAAAAAATCTTCCGACCCTTCCGAATGTGTGGGAGAGGCAAGCATAAACAAAGGATTGAACCCTCGGTCGATTTGAAGTCGTTTCGATGTTGTTCAACCTGGTTCAAGGCTGGTTCAGGACTGGTTCAGACTGGTTCGGACTGGTTCATCCTGGTCTGGTCTGGTTCAGTCTGGTTTGGCCTGGTTCAGCCTGGTTTGGCCTGGTTCATCCTCTTTTGAACTGATTTGGACTAGTCTGGTCTGGTTCAACCTGGTCCGGTCTGGTTCAAGGCTGGTTCACATTATAAAAGGAGTTCTTTTTCCTCCTCTTTTCCTCCTCTAGGGCCGGCCACACCTCCTCTTTTTTGGATTTTTCCTTCCCTCGAGCATCCGTTCTCCCTCAAAACTTCATAGTTGCATTAGATCTAGCCTTCCTTTGGATCTTAGACTGAAGAATCCCTCAAAAATCTTCATACAAAAATTCCTCTCAGGCCCCTCGAGCTCTGCAATAAAAAGAGGAACTTTTTTCTGGATCTGATCCCTTAATTTATTTTACAGGTCACCATGTCTCGTATTGCGAGAGGTCAGTCCT